TCAATAAAACCACATAAAATTCAAGCCTTATTATTTAAATAAAAGAAACCTCATATGAATCTAGTATATGCATGTACAGGGCCTGAAATTTCCAGTATCAGTGGGTCCGACTAAACGATGTTCCATCGTAGCTCCTTCATAATAAAACCACGCGATTTCATTTCGGTTTAAGAAGATTTCGGTTTTACAGAGTTTAACCGTAGCATATGCCTGACATGTGAACAAATACTTATGTGTACATAAGTACACGCTCGTAAGGCGAAACGATCCGCGCACAAAAGTTGCGGCTAGGAGCAGCGGTGGGGGTAACAGTTTCTCGATAGTTTGCGGACCAGTTTCGCGGTGCTCTGGTTTGAAACGCGACCAACCGTCCTCGGGGCCAATAAATAAAACCGAGGGAGGATTGCGAGGTTGGAATAAAGACTCGGGGATTGATAGAACGAAGGACGGCCCCCTTCCCCCGTCCCGCCGGCCTTTCCGTACGACCGGACACGGTGTCTACAGCGCGGGATTTGTGTATCAAAATCGTCGCTCGGTTTGACTACCACCCCTTCATCCTCGCCCGGTTTTCATTCTGACGTTCGACGATTCGTTCGGCCAGCGCCGCGTCGGTTGCCGGCAATAAATCCCAAACTAATTCTTTATCCTATCTGGGCCTTTGTCGGCCGGAGAAGCCCCTCGCCGCCCCCATTGTCACGGCAATATCATCAAAGAGGAAGGGTGGGTGTCACACGTGCCGGATAACTCTCTCTCTCTCTCTCTCTCTCTCTTTCTCTCTTCGGGCGATGGAACTTGAATTAAATTTCGAGATTTATCGCGTCAATAACCGTGCATTAATTTACGATTTTTAGCGGTGAAAACGTAAATCCACCGGCGGCGATTGTTTCACGTTCCCGGCGGCGGCGTCGGAGGGAAAGAATGGAAATGAAAGAGAAAACGGGAGGGACGCCGTGACATCCGGAAGGGTCGGGGGTTGAAACGCGCGATGAGAACGTTGAAACAAAGATCGAATGCGGAAGAATTCGGGGAGCAAGGGGGGGGAATTGAAGTGTGGGCAACGACATATGCGCCTGGCGTGCTCTACGTCTAACTTATATTGACTATTATTCATGCCACGGTGCTGTTTGCACGTCAAGTTAGACCGTTTTGTGAAAAATTGCAAAATTATTGTTGTACTAGTTCGCACTATTCGGGACAATGATTCTCGACCTGTTCTTGATTGTTTTAACTTCTCCTGGTGAATGGTGGAACGTGGAACTAACTTATCACTGTTGAAACAAGTAACTCAGTGCCATTCTAAATTTATTTAACCAAGAACAGTCTTACTTATGTTGAACTCTCCCCCTTCCTATTCATCCTATTCTGTAATAACAATATTTCTGTTCCTACTGTATTTTTACTATTGGTTCTCGATTGCTTTTTCTATATTTCAAAAGCAAAATTGTACAAACGAGCTGATTTCAAGAATAGATACTTACAAGCACAGCTATGTCATCTAATAAAGCATAGAGTCCCAGAGTTTCAACTTAAGAGTCATTACATTAGATTTCAAACATGAAGTCCAACTAGGGACCAAGTTTGAAAATAGGAATGAATCCATGCCTCATTTTTTCAATGATCTAATATTTACATGATATAAAACGAAGATAAAAGAAATAAAGATTTAATATAAATGAATGAATGAATGATTGATACTGAATAGTAAAATAAAATGATATGAGTGATTATTTAAAATTACATGAGTAATTAGTTAAAATTGTCTTCAACGGTGGTTAAAAATAGAAGTCGCGTTCTTTCTTTATTAGTTAAAAACGAGGACGGTTTAAGGGCTGATTAAATACCGGCTGTGAGGTTGAAAAGCAATTTAAGCAGATATAAGTATTTGACGACGAAGAGGGAAAGTAAATGCATATACATATAGCAGAACTCCGGTGGCTACAGTTGACCGCAACTTTGTTTAGTTTCTTGCCAGCAACAGTAGTTTTACTCTGAACTAACTGCACATATGCACTCTCGCTGTGCCTACTTCTACCGCTTGACCTGTTCTTAACTCATTCGGTTTCATTCGTTTCAATTAGGCGACTAAAATATTAAATACTAATTATTTCGTTTGGTTCTTTCGTAAAGTTCGCTCGCTCGAAACGATTAATTGCTCCGGCGACTGAAGGAATTGCTGTGGAACAAGTAAAACTAAAAAGATTGCGTACAACGGTGGGGGAAATAACGTAAGAGGGGGCGACGTTCGCGCGCTCTCCGTGAATCACGTAATCTTGCTTACCTGCTCTTTCATCCCTTTTCACGGTCTGTCCTTTCGCCCGAGCTTTTTTCAGCCTTCCGCTTTTATTCCAATTCCTCTCTTTTCCTCGCGTTTCTCAGAGGCTGATACCCGCCTTTTACGATTTCACTCGGTCGTATAATGGAAAATATTTTTCTTCTTTTTATAAAGCCTTTTAGGCATCCAATATACCAGTTAACGTGAAATTAACGCATTATCTATTTAATTCAATGATCTTCCTTTAAATTGGAAATGACGTCTCCGCTGTCTTAAAAAGACGCTGCATAAATTAGATCTTCGTTTAACTTAGTTATTGTCAAACAAACGCATTATCTATGTAATCATCGATTTTCTTTGAAAGTGGGGATGGCTTTCCAAAAAAAAGTTGCATACATTTTTTTCAACATTTATTGAAAATTTATTTAACGTCTCGTTTAACTTTTCTTTCTTATTCTTCCTTCTACACGCAATTTTCGTGCCACAGATTTACAACGCTGGGCGGTAAATAAAATAAATGACAGCCCCGTTCCGCTCCGACGACGCAGCTGAACTTACGTAAAATTCTCACGCGAGGAATTTATTCACCGAACAAAATTCTTTTCCTCCGTCCCACCTTTATTACTTTTGCCAGTCCATTCGGGGCGCACGGCGGAAGTTTTTAAATCTTGTTTATACACAAAGGGAATCTAACTTTTGTAAATGATAAAAGTGAGGCTTAACTGTTCTCGGCGCTATTGTTTCGCCAAACTTTCTTTTTACTCCTAACGCTTCCCTGGTACTGTGTAAATCCGAGTTTCCCAAATTTAGACAAAACGTTACATCGTAATTACATTGCGGGTTTTTACAGGAGAGTCTTTTTTGGAATATAAGGAGATCCACGTATACTGTAATAATATACACTTTGGAGGTTTGAAAAAGATTTCTATTCTTACTGCTTTTACATTATAATACACCATATAATATACAATATACTATCTTAAATGATAGAGAGGTAGAAAATATTATTGGAATTAACAATAAATAGAGTCGACGCTGTTCACGTTTACACCTCCACATCTGAATAGATAAAATATATCTTTATTAATATTCATATTAGCATTTATATTTTTATAATTGACAGAAATATCTCTATTAAAGTAATCGAAAATTTGTAATTTTAGTTCAATCTGAATGAAATTTTTTTTAACATATTGACTGCCATGTCACTCAAATTCAGATGACGCATAAAGTTTTCAATGGACAGTGTCACCCGGATCAGGGTGATGGATGTATTGGCTGTTATTCGACTGTGGTATTTCGAAATATGTATAGTGAACAGGATATAGGCTAATAAAATATGAAAATATATTATTATAAACTGTTTAATTAAAATTTGTTCTGCAGTCAAAATAGTTCCACCAGCGTTATAAATTAATTCACAAAAATGAAAAACGTAAATAACTAAAAAAGAGTTGAACAGAGCAGTCGGTGTTTAATCTAGTAAAAAGAAAAACAGGAATTTTTAAAATCTACTTAATACTTCAGTAACAAATTTTAATAAATTGTAATAATTTGTAGGTAAATGCGACACACAAGCTGAAGTCTGAAATACCTGGTACATTTAAAAAAGCTCTTATTCCACGTTGTAGTAGGATTTCCCTAATTTCAAATTATCCTCGTAAAAACGTTATTATAAAAAACTACGTAATTTTGAAACCGCGTCATACAAGTTACAGTAATAATTAAGTATTATGTTACCTGTATCTGTAATAATCAAGTAACAAAATCTGTACTATAATTAAGTAGCAAACCTGTACAATAATAATTAACTAACAAAGTCTGTCCTATGCATGTAAATAAAGAAGCTGCGAGTGGGACATATATCCGTAATAGAGACAGTCACTGGGAACTCGTAAAATGCAAAGTGAATTTTCGAAAGAATGGTGATACCTCGCGTCCGATTTCCATACGCCTCCTTTGACCCGGTATAAATTGGCGGTCGACGCCAGCCAACCGTATATAAAAAATTACCTCATATACGACGCGCAGCCACATACGTATGTACGTACGAACGGTTTGGATGGCGCGCATGTGAGGACGCTCTGCATGAAACCGCACTCCACGCCACTTAACTTATAACCCATTCCAGTAGGACGCTCCATTTGCCAACATTTCTTCCAGGGCAGTCGGCATTGATTTTTGATAAGTCAATCGGGTTCCCCGTTCCACCGACCGGCAGCCGTGCTATTTCTCACAATGGAATATTCTTACTGGCCCGGTGGTACGAGCCCCGAAGTTGGCTCTCGAAGAAAAATTACATAGGAGCGAATATCGTGGCTACGTTATCCGCCGGTTACCAGCGAATTTGTCATGATTTCTTTTTTTCGTCTCTCTCTCTCTCTCTTTCTTTTTCCACCTGGTCTGTCGATTCCCCAGTTGCTGGATAACGACATGCAGGCGCTACAAGTTTCAGGATACGGGAGGTTCCCTGGCAGATTTAGAAACGACGAACGCGAGTCTCTGGAGAGCGGAGCTACCAGCTCGCGTGTCTTTTTTCACTTTCTCTCTCTCTCTCTCTCTCTCTCTGACCCTCGATTCTCTGGTTTGTTTCAATAAACTCGTACCTTTCGTCTGTTAAGAGTTACCTCTCCCTGGCTTTGTGCTCCCGGCTACACCGTCGTCGTCGTCGTCGCCTTCTCCCTTGGCAGCGTTTCCAATCTTCCTCGCGACGTTTATGCCTCTACAAAACGAATAGTCCGGGCTCTGTAAACACGTGTCTGATTTGCCCGAAAAAAGAGGGGAAGAAAGTGTATAGGGTCCGACTACTCGCTCGCGATATTACAACCTCGTTCGCTGGAAGATTTAGTTTCGCCACCATGAAGGGGAGACTCCGTAGTTCCGTGTCTCTTCGATGGACATTTTCTCGCATGTCTCTCGCTTGAAGGATCGCGACACTTATTTCTCTGTTATTGAACAAGCGAACGTTCATACGGTGCAAATTAATGGTTAGTAAAAATTAATAATATTCAAATTCTTGTGAGCTTTGAGTAAATTTTTACAAGGTTGTGACAAAAGTGTTACATAGTTGTTACCAAATTGTTACAATATGAATTTGAAAGAATGGATACAATATTAATTTCGCGGAAAGATTTCGCATGCACGCTGGTTGCAGACCCGAGGCGAAAGTGGTCAGTGATAAATCACGAATAGCACCGTGAATGAAACTTCCACGCCATATGGCAACGGAAAAGCTCGCGGCCGACCGAAAATTCCGTATCCCAATATCGATTCTCGCTTATAATGGGATTCAATCCGCACCGCGGCTCTACAATTCAGTAGACGAGCGAGCGGCAGACGAGCGAGGACAGTAAGAATAGCAGAAATCTTAATCTTTCGTACACTTTAGTAAAAAAAAAAGAAGACGAGAAAAATGAGACGGAAGAAAAAGGCATGAAACCGGTGGATTCTTTTTTCTGTTTCCGCGGAGGGTGAAGAACGATGAATCGTTTGCGTAGTTCCATTTTTCCTAGCTGACTCGGATTAAAAATCTATTATTTATGGACTCCGACGTTTTCGCTTTCTTCTCACCGACGAACCTCTCTAAATTGTTCGCTCGTTCTATTTACCGTTATCTCGTTTAGCTGGCGTCGTCTTCGCGATATAAAGAAAAAGCTAGGATTCCTCGGTTATAAAGGAAGTCCTGCAGATTCGACGGAAAGAAGTTCACTTTCATTAATGTTAACACAGTGGCTAAGCAAACCGTCACGGCCTCGCTCCTGATGCACGGTTTAACGAGGAACCGGTGCGAAGTAGTCGAATGGAATTAGGAAACAGACACTGTTAACGCCAGCGTGCGGAAGTATGTTCGTCGCTGAAACTGACGCGAACAAGGAAACTGATTCTACACGCTCTACTATTATGATTCCCTCTTCTATCCATTCCCTACGTCCTGGCTAATTAAGAGTTGTAATTTATTCAACTTATTCAATACTATTCTCATAGACTTAAATTCGGGAAAATTTTTAGTTAATAAAAAGTTGTACCTTGAGGAAAAATAATTAAATATGTTTCAAATTGTTCAAAGGAATTTCGCAGGTACAAAAATGCATCTTTTTTCAGTTTGCTTATTTAAGTTATATCCACGTTGTGGTTATTAAAATACAATACATAATAACGATACATAATATATTTAAATCACAAACGAGAAATCAGTATTTAATTTTGTGGTCATACATAGTAAATATCCGAATTTCTATTCATATTATTCCATTTATACTTACTAGCTTCCCTTTCTATAATTTCGTATGTAATTTTAAGTAAACAGAAACGGTTCTATTAGAATTCATCCAATCTAAAGATTCAATTAGTACAGAGCGTCGAATTGAAGGTATCTTAGCAAGTAATGGGAGACAATATTGCGAGCGTGAAACGGTTGCAAGGGTTCGAGACAGAAGGGTGGCAGCTCGGTCACCGGACCCAGGCTATTGGCCTTTACCGATGCCCGTATCACCGTGGCTAAGAGTTTGTAACCCCTCGAGTTATCAACTCCACGGTCGAGAAACTTGACGAACCTCGCACACAGGTTGCCTCGCACGGTGGATGTAGGTTGAAGTGTAAATCAGCCCGGGTGGAGCGGAGTGACGCTTTCTATACCTCCTTCTTGCCGTCGCATCGCATCGTATCGCGCTCGATCTCTTCAGTCTCTCCAACTCCTATACATCGACTCCTGGCATCCCCTCCCCCTGCTCTCCCTGCGGCTTCCTTCTGCCAACTATTTCGACGATGTCGAAACAACCTGACGAAATTCCCTCCCTCAACCCACCCATTCCTACCCTCCGTTCCCTTTCCCTCTTATACCTTCGTCGAAGCATGATAGTACTCAAGTAACTGGTTCCACCTCGCGTTGGGGCGAAGGAACAATGGCAGTCGAAGCGTGATGAAGAGGGAGGGCCGGTGGAGAGGCGAAGAGAAAAATAGAGAGAGCAGACCGAGTGGGGAAGAGGAGCTAGCCCACCGACACCAGCCGTGGTTCGAATGAGTTCCGCTCGTCTTCCTTCCGGTCGACAAATTGAAATCGTCAGACCGGGAAAACTCCGAAATCCACGTTCGTGAACGAACCAAGGCGACAAGAGGCGGGAAGAAGAATCGGGTGAACGAGCGAGGAATACGGTAAGAATACACGAACGCAAACACTCAAACGGTGCGGAAGGAACGTGGAGGGTTAGACGAAGAAGGTAACGCGAGGAACGAAAGTGGAAGAATGAGACAAAAGCGAAGAAACGAGGTGGAAGAGAAAAAAGGAGGTGAAAGAGAGAAAAGGAGGTGAATTCTGATGCTCAAGACGGAGACACTACAAAATCTAAAGACTGTTACAACATGGACTTAAAAAAAATTGTTACAATATTAATTTTGTTACAAAATTGTTACAATACGAACTTAAAAAAATGGTTACAATATTAATTTTGCGAAAAGACAGTAAGAGACGAACTGTATGGCTTGAGAGAGAAAACTATCTGGTCGTGGACGTTGCCTTACTGGGGGATGAAGGTAAGTCGAAGTACGAAGCTGGAAGAAATGAGACAAAAGAAGGCAGAAGAGAGAAAAAGAGGTAAAAGAGAGAAAAGGAGAATTCCGGTGATCAAGACGAAGAGGCGAACTGTGTAGCTCGAGAGAGAAAGGTATCTGGTCTAAACTGGTGGATGTTGCCGGGCGATATTTCACCCTGTAATTATCTTAGCGCGACGCGATAGTGCGGGGCGACTGTCAGTATTAATGCTCGCTGATAATGTACCAATAGTGTCCTAATGTCCCGTGTAGACTCGAGTAATAGACAGCTCGAATTCACTGCGTTCAGCTATCCATTCCTAAGATATTCAACAGAGTGGATTACAACCTCCTATACAGGGTGAGCCAGTTGACTCATGCACTATACAAAAAATTGTTTCTTCAAATATTCAGTAAATATTAAATGGTTTCAAGAGAGACATCACATGATGTACATGCTCTTCTTTCTAAATATGTATAAAAGATTTGAAGGTGGACTCAGTTCTTCTAAATGTCCTATTTTTTTTTTTTTATCAAAAGTTTATTATTTCCCAAAATGGAAAACGCATAATTCAGAAATAATTCGAGATGGTCAAGTTATGTGGTTCGTTTGATATTGCTGCAAGAGTTCCTTTCTTTAGCCCTTCGATTAATGATTCGTTCGATTTTCTCCTTCTTGCCCGAAGAAAACCGGGGAATCTTGAATGTCCGATCATTTAATTAGGGGGTAACGTTTACAACTGTCTGTTAACTGGACAGATTAATTAACGAGCTCCTTCCCTTTGACTCAAAATGTCGAACTCCAAAGGGAGGCGAAGTGTATTTCTTCTGCAGAACGTTTCAAGCGGAGAAAGGATTAAGTAAGACTTTAAACTGTGATAACTGTGGAGAAAGTTTTACTTTACGGGTTCTTCGAGATGGGTTTGTTACGGTTTTAAACTAATGCGGTTTTCTTCGAAGTCGTAATAAAAACTTGGCGTCTCAACGGGAAGAAGAGAACATCCAATCGTTCAAATTTGAAATTGTTATGGATTTACGAAATTTTAAAAGATGGACTTCAGTTTTTAATTATAGATAAAATTCCTTTTATTATATACAATATTCTCTGTATTATACATGTGTTTTATGTGAAACTGTAATAAAATGGAATTTACTTTTTTTAATTATGTATAAAATCCCTTGTGATATATAAAAAGTTTTTCATAGTATAGATGTTTTCCCTGAAATTCAGTTTTACACTTTTTATATTCATAAGGCGAGTACCTCGATTCGGGACTGTAATAAAATAGGCAAAAATGTTATGGCTCATAAAAGTCACGCGGAACTTGCGTAGGTATTTACGACGCACCCCTATTGGGCGTCACATAAAATAGGAATGTCTGTCAATACATTTCGACCGATGGAAACTAAAAAATTTCGAGTTTCACATTACCCACGCGTTTCCTGCTAACAACATCTCGCATGAATTTTCATTGTATTAAAAATCGAGTAATACTAATTATCGATTAACGAGCTGAATTATTTTGCCAAACGTATCGCCTCTGTTTCGCCATTAACAAGCAACAGCCGTGGGGAACGAAAGCATTCGTAATTTCTGCTAACTGTTACGCGATACCTTGCGAAACCTCCCCTCGTAAAATTTAACGAGTCCCGCAAATACACGTGCCGATGGACTCGGTATCATTACGGCTGTTTCAATTAACAACGTTCATTCGAATAATTATGAATGCCGGGTCGTCATAAGACGGGCACGGGTAAATGGCCACTTTCGACCAATCAAAGCGTCTTTCTAGTTGGCTCCCGGTGGCCGCCAAAGGATATTGGAACGGCGTCAGCCTTCATAAGGCACAAAGCTAACGAGAACGCAATTGGTCGGTCCTCTTGTAAGTACGCCGCATATACAAGCTGCGAGACTCGTGAATGACCAAGCGGAGAACGAGGGAACATTTCACACGGCCACGTAAATCCAAACGATAGCAGGGGGCGCCGGGTTCTACGCGAGTTGTCAGTGGCCAAACAATGTCCTGTCCGAAACAGCCGCGGTTTCTCTTATCGCGCATTCAAACGGTAAATAATGGCGCAACTTCTCGGCCAACGGCGACGACTCGGCCGGCACCAACCCTGTGAATACCAGGACTGAATTTCATGCACGCTCATCCCACTGCCTACTTCCTACTTAACGTCTCTCCTGCCATT